CCCCAAAACCCCAAAACCCCAAAACCCCTACTGATCCCAAGATGATTGTTACTGAAAAATTATGGAGTTCACATCCTCAGGGTAAATTCTGTAAGATCTTGATCATATAGCCAACGGCAAAAGTTCCTAGTCAGGTTAATAGCAACCTCATTTTCGATACTGATTTGATGATTTATTAAGAAATCGGTGAGAAAATAATTTGTAAACTGTGGGATCATTTGTGCATTATTCACTGAGCAAAATTCAATCTGAGAATAATCTATTTCACCATTGTTTAGTGCATCCCCATTATTTGAAGTGTTGATAGTGTCCTCTGCACCGGAAGCTATCCCTTCAGGCTCTGGCTCAGGCTCTTCAAAAGTTGGGCCTATTTGATTTACACATTCTCTGTAGCATATAATGTAGATAAGAATAACCTTGTAGCTACTCTCGTTAACTTTTTGAGAGACATGTCTAAGGTACACTGCAAAAATATCATCACAGTTGAGGTAGTTATGCTTTTCATCCTTCAAAGCCTCGTACGTACTTAGCCCTGGATCCTTGGCTGGCTGCTTCTTCTCTCCTTCCTCCTTTCCACTTTCCTGCTTATCTTCTTCAGGATTTCCTGGGGTCTTATCAAAGCTTAATTTCTGTAAGCTTTTATACAAAGGATATGTTGAGAATTCAATATCAGTGTCCTTGCTCAATTGAGTGAAAACATAAATTAGGGATTCTTCAAAGCCATAAATAGGGTCAATTGGACCGCCTGCTAATTCTGGGTTTTTGAAGAAATCTTCACTTTCGGGTGGTGGAGGGATACGCGCACTCTTTTTCTTAGACTTTCTTTTTCGTTTACCTGTAGTTATTATTTTGATAATTTACCTTCACCAGTGGGTGCAGAAGATAGCTCTTTGTCAGGATGCTTGTTCTTTATGTGAGAATATAAAGCTGGGTGGGAGAGATAAGCTTTTGGACAATATTGGCACTTAAAATCTCTTCCATCTTGGGAATCTTTTCCTCTTCTTTTCCTTTTTAATTTTCTTGCAGTAGGTGAAGACATCTTGTATGTTATACTTTATTTCAAAATTATTGTCTTAAAATGGGGTTTTGGGGTTTTGGGGTTTTGGGGTTTTGGGG